CCCATCTACAGACAAGGCAGCCAGATTTATGGAAAAGGAGATCGAATATCTCGAATTTCTCGTAGCTCTGAACAGCCTAAGAAGCCATACACCTGGAAATGACCAAATTAGCTATGCCATGATACAGAAAAACCAGTAAAAATTAGAATAATTAACTTCTTTAACTCCATCCTAAAATCATTTATCCCTCAAGCCTTTAAAAAAGTACAATAATCCCAATTCATAAACCTGGTAAAAACAAAACGACCATAGAGGCATACAGACCCATCAGTCTTAATCCATGCATCTCAAAAACACTTGACAAAATCATTTCAAAACGACTTTGGTGGTTTGTCACTTCTAACAAACTCCTTAACAGTCGTCAAGTTGGCTTTAAAAAGGGGATGTCTGTATCAGACTGTCTACTTTATGTAGACGCTCTAATCAACAGGGCCCTCTCAGAGAAACGACACATCTCAATAATATCTCTTGACTTTGAAAAGGCTTTTGAGAAGGTAGGTCTGCACACGATACACGATCAACTTACTAAATGGGGCTGTGGTCCTACGATACAGAAATACGTGGCACAATTCATGACCAACCGGAAAATCAGAATTCGAGTCAACCACAGCCACTCATTGATCCAGCCTCTCTACAACGGAATTTCACAGGGGTCCCCCCTGTCAGTAATCCTATTCCTCATCGCTTTTAATAGCTTATCAGATACAATTAGCATGCATAAAAATCTTAACTTCACTGCATATGCCGATGATTATAATATAATTATTGATCTGAAAAAACAGAAAAATGTACAAATTAATGTGGATAACCTTTTCGAGGACATAAACAATTGGTGTAAAACATCAGGAGCATCTCTCTCCATTTCAAAATGCAAGCATATACACGTTTGCAGAAAGCAAAGCTGTATTTGCCAAGTTTCCAGCCAACTAAACGCAATAGAGACAGTACAGGAGCTTACAATATTGGGTCTATCATTCAACTCAAAATACAAGTTTAGCCCCCACGTAAAAAGACTACAACAATCTCTCACTAGGTCGACTAATATTATTAAATGTCTTTCAAATGAGAAATATAACTGCCAGCCACTTACCTTGGTACAAATCGTGAGGTGCTTATGCTTGTCCAAAATAGACTACGGCCTACCAATATACGGATTAGCACCGAAATCAACCATCAAACCAATACAAACCGTGCTGAACAACGCACTCCGTGCAGATCGAGGCGCCTTTTGTTCAACACCTACTTACAATCTCTACATAGAAGCCAATATATCGCCGGTAGATATAAGAACAAAACACCTTCAAGCTAAGCTCTCACATACAATAACACACTCTAGAGACACTCCACTTAGATCCATAGTCGAAAAGATAACGAAAAAGAAAAGCCGGAAATTTAGAAACTCAGCACTTCAAAATATTTTAGACTTATGCATAAGCATAGATCTTCCAATCAACATAGTAAAAACACCAACTAAAAAAAACCCCCGTGGCATCTTAGAGCGGATGCCATTGACACACGACTAAGCCAACACCACAAATCCAGCATAAGCTCCTTAACCTTTAGAAAAGAATTTATAGAGGCCAAAGCAGAACTGACCAACTACACCTTCATATACACTGATGGATCACTAAACAACGAAACAACTGCGTACGCAGTAACCACTGAATGCAAAATATTAAAACAGGCCATTCTTCCACCCTATTCATCAGTGTACTCAGCAGAAATAGTTGCTATATTGGATGCCATTGAGATTGGACGTAAAATTAAAGGAAAAATATGTATCTGCTCCGATTCTCTATCAGCAATCGATTGCATTCGGAACGTAGACAACTCATCATATTACCCCTCGAAAATCCGCGGATTACTAAATGATTTGTACCCAAAAATTAAAATCTTGTGGGTCCCGAGCCACGTTGGAATCATGGGCAATGAATTTGCAGATAAGACCGCCAAAAATGCCACAATCTCACCTTTGATTACTTCTTAAAATATTAAAAGGTCAGATATTAGCAGATACATAAAATCTGTCTTCTCTAATAGCTATCTCAACCTTCTACAGTTCTCTTCCAGTTGGTACAAAACTATAAACAAAAACAACCTTAACATAAGCGATTACACAAAAAAAAATAGACATAAGCAAACTGCCAAAAAAAGAACAGACCAAAATCATCCGACTACGCCTAGGCCACACTCGGCTTACTCATAAATACAGACTTTTGCAGGCTGTAACTAACCCCTGCCAATTTTGCGACAACAATTTAATGACATTAGAACATATTCTAAATGAATGTACAGCATTTCAAAACCTAAGAGCCCCAATCCCTCTTACAAACCTCACCCTGCTTCTCACCGATCCGACAACGAACAACCTCCTTATACTTCTCGCTTTCCTTAAAAAAGCAAACAATTTACACCTTTTATAAGATAAACATAATATTTAAGATGATAAGAATATAACTTGAAATAAAAACATAGATACTAAGAGTCAAACTATGAATAAAATTTCCTCCATTAAGTCAGACGAAAGTAGCTATGGCTGCCCCCCCCCCCCCTGTAGCTTTAGTTTATAACTTTAAGCAAACAGAATGTAAATAAATAATGAATAAGATAGGAAGTTAGCTTCGGCAAGCCGAAACTTATATAGCCTTGCAGTCGTCAAATATGTCGAAAAAAATATTATACATTAAGGCTAAACAGCATCGAAGATATGTCGATTTTTCTATTCATTTTGTATATTTTTTACGATTGTTCCGATTTTTATGAAATTTGATTCAAAATTCAAGGGTCATTAGAAAACTCTATTTTTTCAAAAATAATACTTTTTTGATAAAAAAAAAACAACAATTTTATTATTACTTTCCGTTAATTCTACATCGATTTCTTGCACTTCCCTATTGTAGCTATATAATATAGTTGTTTGATTTGTATGCAATTTTTTTTTTTTGGTTTTTAAAAGATTCGATGTGCTAAAATCATGGTTGTGGGTTAAAAAGCAACGACGTTATAAATGTTATACCCTTGCAGAGCTAAGGTTTATTAAAATTTACGCCAGAAGATTGCAGCGCAGTGAAGGAGACACCTCAGACCCCAAAAGTATATATTCTTCTGAATCGAAATACGTCTGTCCATTTCTCTTCAAACTAGTCTCTCAGTTTTAAAGCTATCTTGCTAAAACTTTTCCAAAAGTTGTGTAGTTATTGCACGCAGTATATAAGTAGGAACGGGCGACTATATCGAATAGCTCCAAACAAACAAGAGATTGAAAAAAAAATTATTACTCTGTTAATTTTGATCATATCGACTTGACTTCTTCCGGATGCTGTTTTTAACAACTGTCGAATTTCGAATTAAATTTTATCAAAATCGGATAACTCATATAACTGCCATAGGAAAGATCGAAAAATATATATATAAATAATTTAAAAAATTATAACGTCGTTGTTTTTTATCACTGGAGCATGATTTTTAGAACATCGCCTGTTTTAACTACCCTTGAATCGAAAAAAATTCATAAGAATCGGACAACTATATCATACAGCTCCCATAGGAAAAATCGATATAAAATTAACGGAAATTGGCGGGAAAAATGATAACATCGTTGGTTTTTAGCAGACAAGCTTATTTTTTGGAATCTAGAGTTTTTAATGAGTCCCGAATTTCGAATTCAGTTTCAGTAAAATCGGACAACTATATCATATAGCTGTCATATGAACAATAGTCGAAAATAAAGAAACGACATAGCTTCGATGTTGTTTAGCCTTTGTTCGACATATTTGATGACTGCAAGGGTATATAAGCTTCGGCTCGAAGCTAGCTTCCGTTCTTGTTCGATCTTGTCTTTCTTTTTTTTTTATACCCTTGCAGAGCAAATGGGTATTATAATTTCAGTCAGAAGTTTGCAACGCAGTGAAGGAGACACCTCAGACCCCATAAAGTATATATATTCTTGATCAGCATCACGAGCAGAGTCGGAATACGCCTGTACGTCTGTCCGTCTGTCCATCTGTCCGTCTGTCCTTTTCTCTTCAAACTAATCTCTCAGTTTAAAAGCTATCTTGCTGAAACTTCCCAAAAGGTGTGTAGTTATTGCACGCAGTATATAAGTCGGAACAGACCGGATCGGCCGACTGTATCGGATAGCTCCCATATGAGAGAATGAAATAAAAAATTCTCACGTCGTTGTTTTTGATCAAATTGACTTGAATTCTTTAAGATGGCGTTTTCTTACTGTTATTGAATTTCGGATTAAATTTGATTAAAATCGGATAACTCTTTCTTATAGCTGCCATAGGAGAGATCGAAAAATATATATAGAATTAATGGAAACAAATTGATAACATCGTTGTTTTTATTTAAATCGACTTAGATTGTGATGCTGACCATAAAAATATACATACTTTACACGGCCTTAGATATTTTCTTTATTACCTTGCAAACTGCTAACTAAAATTATAATATCTTCTACAGGTTGACACCCCCTTTAATTTTCTTTCCGTTTTTATACCCTTGCAGAGCAAAAATGTATTAAAATTTCAGTCAGAAGTTTGCAACGCAGTGAAGGAGACACCTCAGACCCCATAAAGTATATATATTCTTGATCAGCATCACGATCAGAATCCAAATACGTCAGTACGTCTGTCCGTCCGTCCTCCTGTCCGTTTCTGCGCAAACTAGTCTCTCAGTTTATTTAAGTCGGAACGAGCCGGATCGGACGACTATATATTTATAATTATTGCTCCGTTGTTTTTCATCAGATCGACTTTTTTCTTCCAGATGGTGATTTTTAATTACTATAGAATTTCGAATTGAAGATCGAAAAATATATATATATGTATAGGTACATATATAAATAATAGAAAATAAATAGAAAAATCGTCAAAGATTCGATGTTGTTTAGCCTTTATGTATTTTGTTAGACATATTTAATGACTGCAAGGGTATATATATAGCTTCCTTTCTTGTTTAAAATTTAAATTCAAAGTTTCAAAAACTTAACTTACCATTTTGTAAAATTTGTATTTATGTTAGTGTTGCTTATGACGGCTTCTGGTAAAGAATTCCTGAGAATAAAATAATAGTACTTACATTATATTTCGATACGTTATAAAAAAAAAATTGAAGCACAAAGCTTACAAAAAGTGTGCGTTACGTTAGATTACCACGAAGCGTCTAAACAGTTCGTTCTGTGTGTGCAATTCTTATTGCAACCGAAAATGTCAAGATTTTACTGAGCACTAACAATAAAAATGTAAACAGCTACAATTACATAAAATGACTAAATTTTCTTTTCAATTGGTGAAGAAAAATAGGAGCACTAAACGGGTAAGACTGGTTTTTACATCACCTTTCACATTAAAATTAAAGGTATATATTTATTGCAAATAGCTATAAAATTAAGTTTCGGCTATATCATAAAATTGGCTATGTTTAAAAACTGACACAAACGACTTTCAGAGAAAATAAATACTTATTTAAAAGTTCTTAATGACAGGACAAGTTGATAAGTTGTCGTCAAAACATGATTCCTGTCATACCGATTGAAGAAAAATGTTTGGGGATTTTGGACGGAAATAAATTTAGTGACAATGAGCATCCGTAGAGTGTAAAAAGGAAACTACTATATATAGCCGCCGAATTTAAAACACACTATGACGTTCCGACCAGAACGGGTTGTATACGGATCGTACTTTTCGATCAAAAACAGGGGAGGAATTTTGATGGCGTGTGGATCTTCTAATGTTCGGAAAAAAAAGCTAACACTATAATAAAGTATAAAAGCAAGCAATTTTTTACATGTCTTTACAACAGAGCATTGGATTTAATTAAATAAGGTGTCATTGGTTGCGAATTATTAATTAAGACTTTGTTCACTACCTGCCAATAAGTTTCATTTTTATATTGTTGCAGACGCTAAAATAATTTCAGTCAGAAGCTTGCAACGCAGTAATAGATACAACTCAGACCCCGTTAAATGTATATATACTTGATTAGCATCACCATGAGAATCGATCTACACAGTTTCTATGTAAACAATCTCACTAAAATTTGATTAAGTCTGAGCCGATCTAGGCATTTAATTCTGTCTGAATCTATGCAAACGTGGTTTTTATGACCTCGTGAAGTATATATATTTTTGATCATCATCACGATCAGAATCTGTTCAGAATCTGTTCGTCTTGTAACGTGTAACGGTAGTAGCGATCAATCCTGGATTCTATACTTGCGGGGCACGCTTTAATTTTCCGGCTCTAGCTCGTCAGCTTTGGGGGTGGTGGACTTACTCCGTATAGAATCCAACACTAACTACTCATTATTATTAATAAGAATTAGAATTTAGCGTGCTGCGACAAAAAAAAAATTCAAACAGGAAAACTGTGAAAATTTCCAGAGAGCTAAACGATAACCGGAAGAACAGAAGACAATTTCAGAGAAACTAGAAGAAAGGGAAAGAGAAAGAGGTGAGAAATGAAAAGGTTTTGATACACAGATGAAGTGGTGTTCGCTTTATGCCCTACCCAACCTATGACCCTCTCCGCTCGAGCATGGCTCTGAGAATCCCCTTATACCCTAGGACCGGAGAAACAACAGCATGGTTCTGTTATGGGTTTAGTTATTCATTATATTATTATTCTTTTTTTTTAAACGTTATAAAAGTTAATAATAAAAAGATACATTTTGTTTTGAGCGATAGAAAATTATAACTAAAGATTGATATCAAATATTCAAAAATAGTGTGTAGAAAAATAGTAATTATTAAAATGAATTAAAACTAAATATAAAGGAATATATTAAAAGGTATTAATATTAAAAAGGTATTAAAAATATTAAAGTAATGATGGCATAATTAATTTTAAAAAGTAAACAAAAATTTAAATTCCTATTCTAAACGTGGTTAATCGTGGCAATAAACCTGGTAGGCAATATTCGAAAATAAATTTAATCTATATTGTCAATCTGCGTTATTTATTTAACATTTAAAAAAAAAAAATTTTTATTTTTTAAAACCTATATTAAAATTTTTCAAACATTTTTTTTTCCAGTGTATTCAAAATTTTCTTTTAGCTATAATATTTTTGTATTTTCATTCTCATCTGAACATCTCTAATTATTTTTATTTAAATAATATTAAATTAAATAAAATTCGTTCAAAAATTTTTCTCAGTGTAGCAAAAGCTCGCTGACTAAAAGATAAGCTCGCTGTGAATATAACCGTTCTTTGATTCTCTTTATCATCTTTCCATTCCGCAAAATTCGTTTTTGTGAGGAATTTAAATTACAAAAAAAACAAGAAAGGAAGCTAGCTTCGGCAAGCCGAAGCTTATATACCCTTGCAGTCATCAAATATGTCGAACAAAATGCATAAAGGCTAAACAACATCGAAGCTAAGACGATTTTTCTATTCATTTTCCATATTTTCGACTATAGATCATATGGGAGCTATATGATATAGTTGTCCGATTTTGATCAAATTTAATTCGTAATTCAAGAGTCGTAAGAAAACTCTATATTCCAAAAATCATACTTGCCTGATGAAAAACAACGATGTTATCATTTTATTTATAAACAAATCTATACAGTTTTTTCGATCTTTCCTATGGCAGCTATAAGATATAGTTGTCCGATTTTTATGAAACTTTTTTCTCAATATAAGGGTTGTTAAGAAACTTGATGTTCAAAAAATCAAGCTCGTGGGATAGAAAACAACGATGCTATCAAGCATATATGATAGAGTTATCCGATTTTGTTCAAATTTAATCCGAAATTCAATAGCAGTTAGAAAACGCCATCTGGAAGAAATCAAGTCGATCTGATCAAAAACAACGGAGTAAGAATTTTTTATTTCATTCTCTTGTATGGGAGCTATCCGATATAGTCGGCCGATCCGGCTCGTTCCGACCTATATACTGCGTGCAACAACTACACAACTTTTGGGAAAGTTTCAGCGAGATAGCTTTAAAACTGAGAGACTAGTTTACATAGAAACCGACAGGAGGACAGACGGACAGACCGACAGACAGACAGACGGACAGACGGACAGACGGACAGACGTACAGACGGATTTGGATTCTGATCGTGATGCTGATCAAGAATATATATACTTTATGGGGTCTCCTTCACTGCGTTGCAAACTTCTGACTGAAATTATAATACCCTTTTGCTCTGCAAGGGTATAAAAATAATAATAATTGCATGCAGGTATTTTTGTGGTTAAAATTGAATATAAATTTAGAAAAACAAACTCACGTGCATATCCCACGACGAAAGATCGATCTCCCGGCGCTGGTGTGCTGGAAACAGAATTTTAGGGCTTTTCCCATAATTTTGGGATATTTTCAGTGTTTCTTTGCTCTATCAAACCAAACTCACACAAACGCACTCTTCTGTGCATTCTTGCACTTATGCTCTTATCACTTCGATCTCTAACTGGTTTTTCCCATGCAAAACCAAAACAAAAATAAAAGAAAAAAAAAACAAAAAATAAAAAAAATTAACAATTTAAATTTCGAAGAGCCTTTCTAATTTTTTGCCGAACGTTTTCACATTTTTGACTTTATTTATATAATTTTTTTTTTTTTTTTTTTTAAACTTATTCTTTATTTTTAACATTTCTAACTATTTATTTTTTTTTACATTTTTCTTTTAGGTCTTTGTTTTCACCTTTTCATTTATTTCTTTTATAATATTTTTCTAGCACTGTTCTCGCTTCATTATATTTTAAGGTTTATTTATTTAAATTTCCACTTCATTGTTTGCAGTGTATATCACTCGCAAAAATTTATACATAACAAAAAAAAAAATTAAACTTTTGTTTTTATACTCATTTTTTTTTTAACCCTTTCGACCCCAACTTTTTCCCTGTAGAATTAAAATTTTTTTTTTTATTCTATTCGTATTTTATTGGCCCCAGAAGTATTTGAGCCAAATTTTAAGGCGCCACGCCCACTAGTTTTGGCGCTACCGGAAGTTGCTTGTGAGCAACGTTGGGCAGTGGTGGTAAACTAAAAGAAAAATATTTAGGTGGCAGTTAATTTCATTTATTTAAAAATTTAAGTATGGTAACTTATAAAACAGTTTTTATTGTTGTTGCAGCAAAGGTGGACTTTACATTTAATGCATTTTGACATTGGAGTACCTGTCTTGCACAATCTGCAACGTCCTTTTTCAGCAAATACCACCCAATGTTCAAATTTATCGTAACGCAGAGAAGTTCTAGGATCGGGCTGAAACCTATATTTTTTGGATTGATGCGAAGACACACTGCTTGATGGAGACGCCAAGGATATGACTGAGCTTTCTCTTTGTGCATTTGATGGCCGACCTCTCTTTTTTCGAACAAAGTAGAGTCAGTACATTGTAGCAGCTCATGAGCAACTTCCATTTGAAATTTTATAAGCGGCATATACTTTTGGTTGGGGTTTATCATTTGAAAATGCTTTCTGTACAGTAGCCATGCATTTGTCATTGATGTTCCCAAACACCAATAAAAAATTCTCATGTACCACTTTCTGGAACGGTGGTTGACTTTGTACAACTCCATGAGCATGTCCGCTAAATCGACTCCTCCCATACCTTTATTATACGAAGCTACAATAGCAGGCCTTGCTACATCAACGTAAGCTTTATCTTTTGGACTCCATCGTTTGCATATCCCAACTGGTTGATGGTCCTCACACGAAGATAGAAGTTGAACTGACTTATTGTGAAACCATTTTACACATGCAAGATTTTTGTTTACTTCATATTTTGTATCAAAAGATCCTCTTCCACGTTTTTTCAATTCTGCATCTGAAAGAAGTTGGCAATTGCCTATGCGATTTTTGCGGATAGTTCCAGTTGCAAATATGCCCATTTCCTTCAATGCAATCAAAAGACTAACTGACGTAAACCAATTGTCAAAATAAAGCTTGAAAGGTTTGCCTTCGGGAAGCCCTTTTGCCAAATATAATACTACATCCGATGATATTCCCAGTCCAAAACAAGGGCAGGTGCCTTCACCAACATACAGCGTAAAGTTGTAAACTAATCCAGATGTTCCAGCACGAGTAAACATTTTCAGACCCCATTTGTGAGGCTTAGCTGGATTGTATTGCTTATATGACGATTGACCTGGAAACCAAATGTAAATTGAAGATATATTTTTCTAATAAATTTAAATTTGAATACCTTTGTACGCAATGATTTGCTCATCAACGCTTTGATGCTCTTCTTGGGGTAGTTTAC